GTTTCCCCCCCCCCCCTCCCCCCCCCCCCCCCCGCTCTCGCTCTCTCTCCCTCTCTCTCTCCCTCACTCCCAACCTCAGGCGCTCAAGTCCATGATGATGGCCATTGTCACCAAGACGGGGCTAGCCCCTGGCGTCGACCTGATGACCCTCCGTCCCTTCGTGCAGTCAGGACTCCTCATGTCAACCGCTCCGGCCGCAGCTACCCCAACCCCATCCTCTGTCAACCAGGGGGGGGCGACGGGAGCCGCGGGGATGATGGCGGAAGAGCTCGGGCAAGAAGCCAAGGCAGAGATCAAGATTGCTGCCATGCTGGTGAGGCGTTGGGGGAAGTATCAAAGGGTTACGATGCCCTATCTGCTAGGGGGGGCTGGGTTGCGGCGGAAGCATGTCTAGGGTTGGGGTTAGGATTAGGGTTAGCGTCGGCAAACCGAGCATGGAGATGGTTGTCTTTCGCCAGCGGCACGATAGAGAAGAGGGGACCGGGCCATCAGTGTCCAATTATGCAACAGCTTACCCTTGTGGCACAAATATTTGCCCCTACGTGTGCCAGCACTATGTGTTTCCGGTATACCTACCGCAACAGGCGGAGAGAGAGAAATGGCAGCCCTCCTAGGCCGACTTTCAAAGCCCGATTTCTCTACAACCAAGTGGGAGCGGAAAGAGCCCAAACGAAAGCCCTCGACGAGATGTTTCAAATACCCACCATTTTCGGTCGGTGGTCGGTGTTGGCACAATCTTGGCTGTGGAGCAAGCGCGCCTGCTTTGAAAACCGGTCTGGGGGTGGTGCCATCTCTCGGCCTCTTGCGGTATCTAGTGGAGGGCGCATCCCACTCGTTGATCTATTCAGCTGAAACGTGACACGAGACTTGACATTGACCCCCATCATATGCAGGCCGCGGAGCGGAGCTTGGAGGACATGGCGATCGAACCAGCCCAGTACAACAACGTCACCCTCTTCCTCGGCAGGCTACAGGGCCTCCCCGTCCAAAGGCAGAACCTCATGTTCACCTACCTCACGGTGAGTTGTCTATTACTCTCACCCCATAATCAGCGAGCTAGTCTGGTGTGTTCCTTTGTACGGTAGGCCGCGTTGTGCCAAGGGATTCGCGTTGTGCCAAGGGATTTGGCCGCCCTTAGTCCGGGCAACCCCATAGTCAGCGGGCTAGTCTGGTGTCTTGCCTTGCAGTAGTGGTCCCTGTACATGGCTGCGTAGGGCCAGGGGATTTGGCCGGCCTTAAACGGGGCACCCGGCAGTATTCAGGGCATGAGCCAACTTGAATGTTACGTATGTGTCCCGTGTGTTCACTGGTGTTACACAGGACAACCGGCCTTCTGCAGGGGCCACTAACTGCTACGGTGTTCTCTTTTGCGATGTACAATGTCGTGGGTGCTTGCTTTGTTGTATGGTATCCTCTCTCGCGATGTGTGTTGTGATGAATTGTGTTGTTTTGTGATGTATCGTGATGTATCGTGATGTAACGTAATGCATTGTGGTGTTTGTGATGTATTATGATACATGTGGTTGTCTTGTGATGTAGTGTGATGTGTCGTGTGTACTTCCTGTGTGCGCTTGTGCCATGTGGCGTCCTTGTCTCTGTTATGACGTACAGCAGTGCGGGCCCCTGTTAAGTGCGGGTCGAACTGTTGCCGGTTTCCGTTGTAATGCCTTTTTTTTCGACCGGCACAGAGCAAACCACCAAGTCATTCCGTACTTTGAATAGTGCCAGTGTCCGGCTATATAGTGCCGGCCAACTCTCTGGACACATACCGGCACCAAGTATCGCCTTTTCTCTGTCGCAGGGAACTCTGGATGCTGTGCTGAGCGAGGCCCGCGCCTCCGGTGTATACGATGAGGGCGTGGCCGACCTCCGTGCTAGCTCGGTGACCCTCAAGAACGCTCCGGAGGAAGTCGCCAAGGACCCTGCAACGGGAGCTGTTACCCAACTAGCACAGGCAGGACGTCATTTCTGCTTTCACGACATTTATCGCTTCTCCAGATACTGCGTCCCCATAACTGCAAAGTAACAACTCCCGAAGCGAAAACAAAACACACCCAAAGATAAAACACGCCCACCCATTCCGTTACTCTCTGTGGATTGAGCAGCTTGGTCACAATGCAGAGTACTTAAAGGTATTGGTTTGACTCTGCCACGCCGAACACGAACAATCTAGCTTCTCTTCGTCGGCGTGACGCGTATTTGGCCGCAGGAGGGTTGATTGACTTGACTTGTCCTCACCGGCTGTCAACGCTAACGCCAACAGGTGGTGCTAGACCGTGGGGTGAGCTGGGACCAGGCTTTGGCCAAGCGAAGTGAAGCCGCGGACGCTGGCATGGATGAAGCTGTCAAGCCAACGTCGGGGGCCAAGCCGGTGGGAGTCTTCGTCCAGAAATGCCGTTCCCTCTTGTGCCTCTGACGTACCCTTCCGACTTTTGCTCACAATGTATCGTCTGTATGCTCACTCCATGTTTTGTCCAAGGAACCAGTACTAATATATATATTTGAGTCTGCCTTTTTAGTCCCATCGGCTATGTTCGCCACCCCCCCCAGCTCCACACCAGCGAAATCCTCTCCCGAGTGCTCCGTGCCCCACCTAGCGAGTCTTGTGAGGTGCACGGCTGTAATTTGCCGATGTACCCCGATAAAGGTCCAGGCAGTCTTGTGTAGGTAGACAAACTCTGTGTCTATCTAAAAGCTAAAGGCATTGGTTGAAGTTCACCTGGTCTGTTCCGGTGTCTGAGCTCTTCCTTCCTCCAACCCTTGTTGTTGTCCCCATGCCCTTCCAGAAATTATGTTCTCGTTGCTCAAGTCTTGGTGTAGCTGCTGCTGCTGCTGCTGCTGCTACTTTTGCTTGTCCACAATTCTGCCTCAACAACGAGCTTATCGGACATGATTACTGGTCTTCTGTTAGATAGTGTCGCCGTCAAGGGTATCTGGTGCGCATACGGGCTCCTCCCCGTAGCCCCAGCACGCGGACGCCGTGAACGGTTGGCCGTTGTCGCTGCGTTGTTGTCACTAACCAAAGGCTGCTCTCTCTCTCTCCTGCTTATCCTTGTTGATATTGCTCCGCCTGCCGCGACCGCTGTTTCTTTGCTTGGATAGCCGAAGGGGACGGGTTTCTATCGCAGCAGGCATACCGACATCACCAGCCAGCGCAAGCTCGTCGTGCTTGCCGTTCGCAAGGCCAAGCACAACAGGCTGATGGTGAGTGGCGACCTTTGTACTGTCACTGCTGTTTTTCGACTGCTGTTTTGCGTTAAGGCGCATCCAAAGTATTGGTAAGAGCGATTGTATTTTGTAGAGATGTGCTTGTTTGCACGCCGTCAATGGCGGGAAGTGGAAGAATGCGCATGAACTGTTCACATAAAGAGTTTTTTTGTTTCCGTTGAGTCCAAGGGAATGCCAAAGCACTCATTTTATTCCACCAGCTGGAAGGAACTTCGGTGAGGGCTGGTCGTCACATGGTGTCCGGGTCCAGCGACCTTGCATCGTTTGATTACGAAAGCACATTCGCAGCAGCGACATTCGGGTCGATAATCGTACAAGAAGCTCCCGTTTACTGTCTCAAAGGCAGAGCATTGTCCGTCGCCATAACGTGGGTGCGTGGTTGCGAGTCGCGACACGTGTACGGGTAGCATCGACTGCGCCAACTGGTTGAACAATGAAAGTACGTCGTCAGTCGAAAAGAGCTCATAAAGTCGGTAACGCTTGTTATATCCCAGGCTCCCCTAACAGGGGGGGCGTGGACGTGCGGTTGATTGCGTGTTTCTTGATAGGCTGGACCGTGTCTATTTTGTTTAAACGCTTTCCCAGGTGATTACCCGTCCGAACACCGGCACGTCGGGATACGAGATGGACCTTCAGGAGCTCAGAGAGAAATACGATAGGGTATCGGACAATGAAGAGGCCACAGCGACGGTGCAACACGCCTGGACGCAGGTGAGCTTTTGGCGCGTCGTGGTTTTTGTGTGCTGTATGCTGATGCAAGTTTCGCCCCTTCGAAACGCGAAACGGTGAAGGATTCGGAGAAAAACCAAGTGTTACATCGCGGGAAAACAAGCGAAATGAGGAACCGCCCGCTTCCTGAGGACCCGCCCGCTTCCCCGTCCCCCATCGAAGAGCGGTGTTGTCGTCTGCTACTCTTGTTCTAAGTCGTCCGGCCTGTGGGTAACGGTGGGAGTTTTTTCAATTTACTTTTTGCAGGTATGAATCGGGGCCTCTGTTATTTGCGTGGTAATTGCGTAGTCTAATGTTCCGGTGGTTGTTGCGGCTTCCTCCAAAACAGCACGTGCTGCATATGTTCGCGGCTGAACAGCAGGCTGTTCCTTGTCTGGAGTAAAGAATTGTCGACTTGACTGACGAATTCTCGAGGTCCTCCTTCTATCGGCACCGCGGCTTCGTTCTAGGTGTACCGCTTTAAGTGAGTTGGCTGGACGCCCTTGCTCTGCTTGCTTTTTTACGTGTGCTTGCAAGTGGGTTCCATACCCTTGTGTCCTTGTAATTGATTTGTCTGGACACCTTGCTTGCTTGTTGTAACGTGCTTGAATGTGAGTTCCTTGGACACCCTTGCCTTGCTCTACTTTGTTTGTGATTGGTTCAACCAGGCGTACGACTCCTCGAACGGTGCGGACTACCGAGGTTCGAGGAAGGTCACGCTGGGGCTCTTGTCCGGCTCAGTGCTACCGATGTGGTCCGCCCTGGAGAAGACCGTCGCCGTTTGCCGTGCACAGATGACCAAGGCTGAGGAGGCACTCAAGGTATTTGACCGTTGTGTAGCCGTTGTGGCTGTGATTTTTGCCGCCATTCGTGCTCTCTTGTTGTCGCTTTGCTTCGTTGTTGGTATCCGGTGTTCTGCCGTTCTTGTTGATGTCGTTGCAGTGGGAGTAAATTCGATGCTTGCCACTCCCACCCTCGCAGGTGAACCGAGTGATCCTGGACGATTCTACAAAGCTCGTGGGGGTTCGGCTCCCAACCACGGCGCTCTCAACCCTGAGACAGCATCTGGCAGAGGCCGTGCAAGCCAGAAAAGCGGTTGTCGACAGCGGTGGGGGGGGGGGCGTCGATCCCGTGTCCCCGATCAACCCGAAAACCCTCCTCCAAGTCAAAACCCCTCCCAAAAATATTCTCAGCTTTTTCGGGCGCGCTGCTTCCCCCTCTCCGTCATCTGCGGCAACTCCGCCCCCGGTCGGCGGCAAGCGCCACGCTGGGGTTTCCAGTGTCGGCGGCTCTGCCGGCAGAGTGAAAAAGAAAAAGGGGTCGGTTGGAGGCTCGGGGCGGAACGCTGGGAAGGAGAACAGCGCTAGTAGCACCGCCAAGGGTGTCGCTGCGTTGTTTGGCTCCCAACTTGGTAGCAAGGACACCGCCGGTTCGACGGCCTCTGCGAAGAGGGATGATCCTCCTGAGGTTATCTCGATTGACGACTAGACTATAATAGTGATGATCCTGACTCTTGCCGCACTCGCTCGCTTTGGTGGCTTGTGATCTCGATTGACGATGAATGATGCACGATTTCCCACACTGTCTGGCTTTGGTGACCTGTGATCTCGATCGACGAGTACATTGTCATCCTACAGATCTCCGACATCCGCTGGCTTTGGTGACCTGTGATCTCGATTGACGAGGAGTTACCCATGATTATCGCACAATCGCTGGCTTTGGCGACCTGTCATGTCGATTGAGAACGACTGGTCCACGGTTCTCTCGCAATCGCTGGGTTTGACGACCTGTGATGTCGACGACGAATGATCCATGATTCTCCCACTCTCTGTTTTTTTTTACCGCTGATCGATTTGTCTCTTATCGTGTTGAGTTTCCCGTCTGCGAGTGAATTGAACACACGAACGAACGAGCACGCACGCTCCGCACCGTTTCGCGACTCATGGCAGCAGGCGGTTAGGCCGTCTGTCCCACGATGCATGGCTTGTCCTTTCGCGGCATCTGATCGAATCGTGGCCAGAATCGGTTTGACTGTGCTACATACAGACTAGGTAGCACCGGAGTCCAAGGGCTTGACAGCGTACAGTACAGCGACAACAGCCTCCGTCGTGGTTGATGCCGGCTTTCTTAGTGCTGGAGGGGGCTTGATGGGTTGTTCCTACGAACTGCGGATGTAGCGTGTCCGCCACTGCAAGTCATGTCCGGAACTCGAGATCTTCCTCGGCGAGTGATACAGACTATCAACGGTACATGCAGGCGTTTGCCTGGTGTCCATGTCCAAGAAGTCGTTTCGAGAGTCTGCGTGATTCTAAACCAATGGTGGAGGTCGACAAAGTAGGACTGGCACACCGCCGGAGAGAAATGGATGTACATTGTTGGATAGTCTACATCTTTCAACGCGAGCCTCAAACATCAACACTTTCGGACAAAAAAATAAATGTCCGGGATACGCTAAACCACAACCCTAAACCTTATAGAGGGAATGGGGAAAAGAGACTGGAAAGGTCCACAGAACCTAGCAGCACTTGACTGCAACCTGCCGGACAAGTCGTCCAACATCGCCTAATAAGGACACCAAGTACGTGGAAGAGGTTTAGTACATCAAACACACAGCTAGTACACATGTCGGAAGGAACACCAACTATCCCTCGGAGACACGTCTAGGATAAAATGGCGTGCCAGATCCTCCAAACGACAGAGGTAAAATACCCAACGCCAACACCAGGTGAAAATATCAAAGGGTACAGACACGCACGAAATATCTTCCAAAACGTCTGACCTCAGGTTGTCCCACCGCGCCACTTTCGTGCAGAGATCAAGGGTACCGCTGTGCGATGCAACCGTTTGCGGAAGAGCGTGCTCTTGCGCCAAAGGTGCCGTTGACGAACGCCATCAACATGAAACGAGCCCTGCCTTCTTGGCGTTGCCCCAACCCCCGTCCGTCGACGCCAAGTGGTAGGGACAGTCACCGATGACCCACTATTATAGCATCGACACAAACAATCCGCCATCAGTCACCACGCAAAATATACAAAGTAAAAGAAAATACGAACTTCAAACCAAACCGAGGCGTGTCGACTCCAATGCAAGTCGCACCAAACGTTTTATGCTTTGGCTTGAGACTCGACTTGGCTCTCTCCCAGCACACAACATTAGAACTAGCATGCTGGCGGGGGGAGACCGCAGAAAACCGGCTTCAAATCAACGCGGCTCTTCAAGCTTGAGGGAGGAACAACTACTCGGACGATAGGATCGTCGCGATATCGTCGCCTATCAAGCATACGAACAACAGCAGCCCAAAGCCAATGCAGGCGTACAGGGCAGGGGTTGACGACGTTATGGCCCCAGTGAAGGGCGTTTTACTCGCCCCGAACCGTTCCTCGCACATTCTCTACAGCAGCAGCGGCAGCAGCAGCAGCAGCGGCAGCAGCAGCGGCAGGAGCCCACGAAGAGATCGGCAACAGGGGGCACAATGGGAGCAAAGTTGATCAGGGTGGCGAAGGTGGTGAAGCCTCAACAAAACCTTCGACATGGACGCTCCACTGGGGGGGAGAACGTATTTGCGCGCTCGAACGGCATTCTTGTGGCACCAGATGTAACACTACCACTACGAATGGGACCCCCGAGGGTGCCTTGTTGTCAAGACAAGTCCGACTCTACGGAAAGAGGGTTCCTGTCAACAACTTGGCCGCAAAAACACGTCTGGGAGGTTTGCTGCTCCATTGCTCTCTACATCCTCAAGCCTGCGGCACAAGCCTAGCGGGCACGTCCCACAATCGCGTTCTCTCTCAGCCGTCGTGTCATTCTCTACGGAGGGCAACACACCTACGGTTTTGCTTGTCTAGGAGCGATTCCAAGAACAGGGCTTCATTTGGCATGGGAATGGGTGGTCGTGATGCGCATAGCATGACGATATCAAGCAGCAGTTGACAAGCCTCTCCTCATTTCTTCGAGCAGAAAATTGAGGTGTTTGTCCCAAACGACAGTGAGTTGCACCCAATAAGGACTAAAGACTCTTTCAGTCGTCAACAAGCTCCAGAAAAGCCAACAATATCAGAAACAATAAAGAAACACACAAAGTGCAGACAGTTCACAACTCCAGGCCACAGCAGAGCACTTCGACAGCTTGGCCACATGAACAAGTGCTCAGCTGAGAACCCCACAACAAAACCTATACAATCTCCGCGTGGACATGCCCGACAGAGAAAAGACGATCGAATTTGGGGCCAAAAGGCTGAAATCTCTATGTTGTGGGTGCATCGCTCTGGTGAATGAGTTTCCAAACCTTGGAGAGGAGGTTGACGTACGCCGGGAAGACGAACGCGATCATCACCGTCAAGCAGCCTGTAGCCACCGGGCAGACGGAAGGGATTGCGGGCATTGTGTGGACGACGGGCGGATTATTCGTTAAACGTGAAGAAAATCGGCGCTATTTCTGGGCAAATTTCGGAGCAAGGGGGCAAGGAACGCCTGGGCGTTAGGGTGTCTACCATAAACACAGCGTAGTCTACCCAATCACCGGAATCAAGCTACAAACACTAGTCCGTTTTTCGATCAACACAACTGCTTTCATGGACGATTTGTTTACTCCACACCAATGACCTGATGAACCGGACAATCCCCGGGTACCCCAAAAACGGCCTCTGTTGACATCTCCGCACTGGGCCAGCGTCTCCAACCATCACAACGGCATGTCCACTCAGACCAGAGTGCACACATTCGACCAACCCCAAACCTCTGGTGGGTACCGACCGAGTTGTAACTGGTTGCCAATCAATGCAAGGTACCACATCAGCTTCACTCTTTGTCTTCTCACCCGCATACCCCACAATCGCGGCGAAGTCCTTCCACAGCAGAGCACATAGCAGCGGTGGCACGGCGCACAAGATTCTGTGGATGGCAACGATCGTGGGCGGGGGTACGGGCGAGGGTGGGTGGGAGAACCAAAACGAAACAAACGCACAACGTCTAATGAAACTACAAATGCCAACCTTGAAGCACCCCACAGCAGTGAAATGAATGGTGTGCGCTCTATCAAAAATGCTCGCTGGGAAAAACCACCTAAACTAATCCCTGTGTCTTGTCAAGCCTGTTGAGCTAATATTTCGAGTGTTCGAGTGTTCTTATTACAAATGTGTGTTGTTGCAAAAAGGCCAACAGGTAATGACACCAAGAAGACCGTCGTTTCACGTCTCAGATAATGAGACATGACACTTCGATACATACGAATCCAAATCTACGATATCTCCATCCAGTTGCGTCCCTGCGTCGACAAGCGAACAAACATGAGGAACAAGGCTTCCTCTCTCGCAAGGGTTAAGTCACCAACACTACATGTGCCTTCCAGTGTCACCTAAAGGTCGTGACGATCACCGAGTCGTTTTCTGCGTTGTCCACATGGTCGTTGTACACCGCCGCCATCATGTTATTCGCGACCACCTGTTCTTGTCGCATCGCAATGTTTTGGGGAGAATCACAGCAGCGTGTACTCAGTTGCGGCTGATGGCTGTTCTCGTGTAGCCCAACAACGGATGAAGTTGTGCCGCACTACGTGGAAAAAACAACAAAGTTGCCACGTTTTGGGTTCAAGAGCGCAGCCGTATATTACCCCGTCCCACCCGCCTACACCCGTAGGCTAGAAAATATCACGTAGTAAGCAAGCGTTATACACTCGAAAAAGTTCCTGTTCTCTGCTGCTGACGCATGGAAACGAGTGCTTGACGCGTCCGTCACCTAACAACATCAGCGGAGCACTAAAAATAAGTGATCACTAAAAATAAGTGATCACTAAAAATAAGTGATCACTACAAATAAGTGATCACTAAAAATAAGTGATCACTAAAAATAAGTGATCACTAAAAATAAGTGATACGTGCCATGAGTAGGAAACCGCTACCATCACGTTGGATCACATCGATCGCCCAGTTGGCCGTGTGATATATGTGATAATCACGGCTCGAGAAAAATGCACCTTGCCAACTAAAGTCGTCATGTGGGTTGAGACAAGAGTTGGACAAAGCACAGGAACTAACCAAGTGACTCTACATGATGTTGGGACGAGACGGCTCGGGAGAGCAAGACCGCTGCGGGAATTCCACAATGACGTCAAGAGGAGCCATGTCGTTTAGCGGGTACAGTAGCTCACCGTGACATCGAGAGGGTACATTGACTCAACATCACGTTGAGAGGGTACACACAGCAACTCAACTTGACATCGAGAGGGTGCATTGCCTCACCATGACATCTTGAGGGTACATTTGACTCACCATGACATTGAGAGGGTACACGCTGGTAACGTCCATGGCGGGAAACAGCACCACGAAGTAGGCCATCATGCGGCCGGAAGTGGCCAGCAGCGACGCGACAGGACCATCGCCCTTGGGGGAGTAGTTGGCCCAGCTCACGTTGCAGCTGCCGTGCACGCTCGAGCCAAAGTAGTAGGCCGTGGCGAGTGAGATGCCTGTGTAGGTTATAGTCGCGCTGATCATAGCTGCCCACACCACGTTCCTGTGAAGGTGAGGATAGAGCAGCAATGCATGCCATTAACGTGCAGCCATTGGGGGGTGTACTCGGGCAAACGTATGCCGTAGTCGTTAGACCATTGCTCTCGCATCCTACAATGACGGGGACGGAGCGATATGAACCAGACGCTGGTCATCATCCTTGCGTTTGCTGTGCTAATCCAGATACACCATGGGTTGATTGGCATCCGGGGCAAAAGGAGCGCAAATGTAGAGAAGAAAATGATCTCACCGAAAGACCAAGAGGTTTGAAGATTGAAGCGGCCACTTCAGCCAGCTCAGAAAAGTGTGATTGCGTGAACACAGCGTGTTCCCCCATCAAATCTCACTCTGAACCATGCACAAATCGCTTGCGTTCCGTGTTATTTCTAAAGAAAACAAGACTGGTATGCTAGGCAAGGCCCAACGGCTATCTACCGTTCCAAGCGTATCCTCGCCGGATCAGGGAAACAATGACGATGAAGTCAACACCTCTACTGGTACCCAATTTTCACAGCACCCCGCCTGCAACGCATATCGAAAGCCGCGGCAGCCGCTTGTTTGCAACCTAAAAGAAACACTATTCAACACCCCGATAGTGGAAGACAGGGTCGGGCGACAAAGCGCGTGAACCGTTCAGAGCCGGAGAGATGGCACTAACCACACCCACCCGCACCTTCGAGTAAGGACCGCCACAGTGAGATTTACCCAGGCATACGCTCTTTCGCTTGCTCCCCGTTTTTCGGATTGGTACCCCCCATATAACCGAACTGCGAAGCTCGATTGGTCCACAACCAAGTGGGTGCGGAAAGGGTCCGACACACCCGACCAAAAGCCCTCGACGACTTGTTTCCAAAACCACCTTTTTTGGTGTTGGAACAATCTTGGTTGTGGGGAAATCCAGCTTTGAAAATCGGCCTTAGGGCGGGTGCCTTATTTCCGCCTCCTACGGTACATTGATAGCCCGTACGGTTTCTACGGCCAACGCTTCAACGCACAAGTTACCGCCAAACCTTGCACAAGTTCTCGAAATAGCACGCCGAAAATCAGGCATGCAGCGCATCACACAGGTCTACACTACACACCGGGAAGCTTGCCCACAAAAAAGGAGATACCTCTTCTTCTGCTTAGACCTTCTCTCACCCGACGGAATGCTTTTGGTCCAGGCCTGACACAATGGTCGGAGTCGTGGCAGCCAGCGACAGCGCGAAGATGCCAGCGGGGACGGCCTTAAAAATCCCTCTCCAAGTGGCTAACGGCGTCGTGCCTACGAATTCCTCCGTCTGCGCTTGGTCGGACGAAGGCGATCGTGGCAATTCAATGAAATTAGGGCAGAAAAATACGGGAACGAATGGGCGACGCAACCAGGAAAACGGCGGGGAGAATCTCCAATCGCAGGTATTTGCGCCCCAGTCATGGAATTGGATTCGAAAGAGTAGCTCGTGGTGGGATCATGAAGACACCTTGAGGTGTGGTGGTGGACGGACGGCGACCACAAATTAATTATCTATCCACAATTGATGGAAAGGTACATCGCACATCTCATCAAGGGTGGTCGGTTGGTGGATACCAACAAGGCCATGGAGGGCCGGTTGCGGATACCCCGGTGAGCAACGATTCCGGTTCAAACCGCACCTGACTGTAATGTAATCTACCACATGTACGACATGTATGCGTGAAAGCCAACGGTAGCATCTTATTCTTATACCACGTAGCCTTGCATGAGGTGTGAAACACCGAAAAGTAAAACCAACCCGAAAAATCATTCAAGATGAACACAACCGTTAGACGTAGACAAGACGAACGATGATTCGTGTGTCCGAGAGTCACGACTCTGGCTCAGGAATTGTGGACGGCAACGAAGAGAAGGCGATTTCACCGGCAGTGCGACTTGGTTAGCATGAGGTCTAAAAAGGCAGCATGATGCCAACAAAGCGTGAACAAAAAGATGCCAAAAAGTGTTTCTAAACACTGTAATAACCCGACGACCCACCTCCAAAACAAGCCATTCACATAAGGCAATGAGGACAGACACCAAGGGATACGTAGGACCAACGATCAGCAACGGCAACGACGCGCCATGTCATGGACTGCCTACGAAAAGAAAGCAAGACTGCTATGTCGGAAAAAATACCGGGCAGGGGACACGCAGACCATAACCCTAACCCCACCTAACCCGTTTATACTTTATCCAGTATGCTTGCGTGTGTTTGCTTACTTAGAAGTCCTGCGTAGGCTACTGTGCTGCATGTCATGATCATGCAGACTGCATGTCATGTGATGTGATGATCATGGCAGGCTCACCCCTGGGCCGAAGGGCTCTCCACCTGTGTACAGGGAAGCCAAGATAGTCCCGACCATCACCACCAACGCCATGAAGCGCAGGATGGTCAAGACGACCTGCCCGCCAAGTCGAGTCAAACGGGAGACGTAAAGACCGTCATCAAATCCAATCCGGCCAAAAGCAAAGGAGCAAGAGTGTTCACAGCAGTATCGATGGTCGTCCTTGCCGTTGTTGGTGTGGGTGCTCTTTTTAGCTTTCTATGCATAGCAAAACATGCAGAGGAGGAGACTCGGAAACCTAACCCTCGTTCGAGATATTAGTAGTACTCCATTCAAAGGCATGACTTAATTTCTTTACAGTGAGGATTGAAGGATATCTGCTGGATACTGGACTCACATGTGAGTCTGTTTATGCCCTTTCTTTGCCCTGGGAGAGCAGGGCAAACAACCAAAATATATTATTGTCGCGGTGGCTTCGCAGTCGTTGGTGGTGTCATAGTGCTCGTTCATGCTACCACTAACATCGTCGTTCTCGGTCATTCAAGGACAACGCGAATCATCACTCTGCACGAGCAACGCTTTGTCTTGTTGCGGTTGGGTTGACTATACGCTGCCTTGTGTCCCTCAGCACCCACGCACCTGAAACATCGCCTGCTCCTTGATTTCCAGCGTGGACATGGGCACCACCACCATCCCAAACAAGACCACGTACATGCGGTAGGCGCCGGCCGGTCCTAGGAACGGTACGGGCGCGTAGGTGGCGAGGGCCTCGCCAAACACGGCGCCGTAGCCCCATAGGGCGCAGAACATGTACAGGAACAGCACGAAGTTGAAGGCTCGCTGGGAAATAAGGGAGACGCCCGGGGAAAAGCAGACGTACATAACTCGTCATGACACAGAATAAAGAAAATGTACGGGATGGCACTTCTTGCAGGAGTAAGGGGGATACCCGGTCAAAAATATATGAAAACACGTCATCACCTTTAGTACAGAATGAAGAAAAGTACAAAAATAGATTAAAACAATGTAGTGAGGAGAAAATGTACAGGAGCAGCATGAAGTTGAAAGTTCGCTGGAGATAAGGGAGGCGCTCAATAAGTTGTCACCACTCAGCACCAAGAAAATGTACTGGAATTGCATAAAGATGAAAGCTCGATGGAATGAGAAGAGGAAGGCGCCCGGGCCGATGTTGGTGTAAATAAGTTGTCATCGCCTAGCAACTCTAAATATCGCAGAATTCGTACTTCTGTGCGCAAGAAACAGCACCCAGTTCGAGGTGTGCTGTAGGTTGAAGGGGGGAGGGGGGGGTGACAGATATAGATGATCAAGCTGCCGTTGTTGAGTCAGCTACCGGCCACCTAGCGGGGATAGCAGCTACGCAAAAAATCGAGAGCAATAGACTAGGCGAGTGCATCGCGGCACCAACGTGTGGGAAACGCCGGTAGCAAACGGTTCGCTGAGCACGGTAGCTAGCAGCTGAACACATCAAGAGCTGTCGCCTTGAGGCCACCCGCTCTGGCACTTGTCTGTCTCAATTTCAATCTCAAGACTGCCATGCTCGCGTGGCATGTTCCCGACACACACAACAAATAATGTTGTCCAGCAAATGTCTATATAGTAAACGTTCAAGCAGTGTTGAACCCAAGGCCGGCATCATGGAGAAGGCGGTAAAAATCGGTACGCCGAAGTATCGGGGTACAGGCACTGCCGGCCTGACGTCAGCACGGCGCATATTCAGCAAGGCTCGACGCCATACAGGGCCAAAACTATCGAACAAAGGCTTATTGTATACTTCTACCAATGTCTTGTACGGTAGGGTTTAGTGTAGCGCCGGCGGGCGAGGTCTCCATGACTTCTTACGTCATTTTCCTTCATTCATCGCAAACCATCTGAGCCTTGATTGTCTTGCGAACATGAGCATGTCTGTTACGACAGGCTCTGGACAACATACACGCAAGTAGAGAGGTAGGTTTGCTTCGGCATTCCCATTCCTACGCGATGCTCATTTTTCGAATTCGGCCCCCTTCAAGGGACCTTTGATATCTTACCCGCTGGCACTAACGTCCTTGCACCGGTCGGCCGGTTGGCGCGGTCCACGCTAAACAACAAAACACACGCACACGCACAGACACTTTGGACACCTGCAGCATGCGACCGCCGAACAAGTCGCACATCTCGGTCATCTGAAAGGCGTGTGAGCTCAGATGCATCTCCGACTCCGCTCCCTCCTGCCGAAAGTTATCAGAATCCAGGCGCCAAGAGGTAAAGAAGAAGAGACGGTTTGTCAGAATGCACAACATGCCCGAGTGGCGTTCAGAGGGGAAAAGATCAAAGGGCAGTCATGGTTGACTGAACCCGTAGATCGTCGACATAACGGAACACAGGAACATCTCCATGGATAGAAGCACCTCCCTGTGAAGAGTGAAGAACACCTTCAAAACGAGGACCATCTTCCCAACGTCTATCAAGGAGGACGATTCCCTCTTTTCACACCCCTCCCATAACTCATGGTGCGGCAGTGCAACGCAAAAACATGTACATGTCGGAGATCGAAGTACCACAAGCCGGCATCGTCATCATCGGACACCGTATCATACAAACACCTCCCTCCAATCACTCATGGTACAGACACTATGACTGTGAGTTTTAGACAGCTTGAGACTCTTCCTGCCCTGCGCAAATCATGAAATCAATGTCACCAATGTCTTCCACTGCTGTCTCACTCGCTCACCCTAGCCCTCTGCTTGTGGACGAGAGGAACCAAGTTGGCCTTCATCCACGCCTCTGCCCGACACATCGTCTCCACCTCGTACATGGCCGTCATCTGATGCATAGATTCATCAGTCATTCGTCATCATTTCGTACATGGCCGTCATCTGATGCATAGATTCATCAGTCATCCGCCACTATTTCTTACATGGCCGTCATCTGATGCATAGATTCATCCGTCATTCGTCATCATTTCGTACATGGCCGTCATCTGATGCATAGATTCATCAGTCATTCGTCATCATTTCGTACATGGCCGTCATCTGATGCATAGATTCATCAGTCATTCGCCACTATTTCTTACATGGCCGTCATCTGATGCATAGATTCATCAGTCATTCGTCATCATTTCGTACATGGCCGTCATCTGATGCATAGATTCATTAGTCATTCGTCATCATTTCGTACATGGCCGTCATCTGATGCATTGATTCATCAGTCATCCGCCACTATTTCTTACATGGCCGTCATCTGATGCATAGATTCATCAGTCATTCGTCATCATTTCGTACATGGCCGTCATCTGATGCATAGATTCATCAGTCATTCGTCATCATTTCGTACATGGCCGTCATCTGATGCATAGATTCATTAGTCATTCGTCATCATTTCGTACATGGCCGTCAACTAATTCATAGATTCATCAGTCATTCGCCACTATTTCTTACATGGCCGTCATCTGGTTCATTGATGATTCATCAGTCATTCGTCATCAATTCGTACAAGGCCGTCACCTGATTCATAGATTCATCAGTCGTTCGTCATCATCGCGTCACTCGCTGTGGTTTAGGTTATGGATGCCACCAATTCACGTTAGACGGTAGGTGCTGGGGGAAAGGACCATCGGTCAATTGCGACGGTCAAATCAGTTGTTGTTGTCGCTGTTGTTGTTATTGTTGTTGTTGTTGGTGGTGGTGGTAGTGCAAGTCGTTGGGGCTGTGCCTGTTGCCATGACGCGATGTCATTTTGCAAAACGAAACACGTAGAATACCCGTTAATATTTTCGCCACTGCATCGCGTTGCAGTTGCCGCGACCAACCGAGACTACAATCACTCCATTCTGGAGAAACCGGTTTCAGGTAGCAGCTGAAAGGCGAAGCTACGCGGCCAACAGCTGTGATCCTCGGTGTCATCAATGTCGCGTCAAGGGGTGAGAAAAACGTACACGATTGCACATCTACAAGAGGCGGTATGCTAAATCTGTTGCTGCTGTCGCGATCTCTGTACCCAATTATATCTACGGTGCCGTGCCACATGCCGCTTATCTGTGCATCGTGTGCCATCTCTCACGTACGTGCTTACCCTCAATAGCCCCATGCACGCGAACAACACGGCGACGCCAAGAAACATCCCCGTCGCCACAAACGCCGCCGGTAGTGCCAGAAACCCCGATCCCATGACAAGGTTGCTGTCAGAGCAGCACAGCGCGTTTTTCAGACGAGCGTAAAACAATTTATTGAAGAAACCGTTGTGTGTTGTTGTTGTTGTTGTTGCTGTTAGTGGTGGTGACGGCGGTGGTGGCGATGATTTGTGCCGTCCACGCTTAAAGAACACCACACAAAATTCAAGTGTCATCCATGCATCCATTCCGATCCAACTTGGACAAAAACTGCTTCGGCTGCAAGGCCATAGCCACACAGACTCAATAGGGAACAACACCCTACCCCCCCCCCCCCCGCTACGGCACACGTAACCCCCAAGAGAAACAAAAAAAAACACAAACGCGGCACCATTTCGCAGAATCGGTGGTATAGGCACCGTGCTTCAAAAAGTGCCAAGAGTAATGGATTGTCGTGGCTCCAAGAGGGGAATCATCATCGCAGGTCGCTTTAAATGCACGGTATCGCCCTGGGAAAGGTAGGGTTGGCGTGGACATTGTAAACCTGCATATGTGATAAGGTGTACGGAAGAAATATATACCCAAGGCAACAACATGGAAAACATTGCTTCCAAGAGAAGCCGACAACCTTGATCAATGCCGATCAACTCTAACGGTTACACGCCGCACGCAACTACGACGGTAGATACTACAGCAAGGCCTCCCAAACCCATCGCATATTCACAAGCCAACAAGCCGGAAAATCGACTACCTTAGTACTCAAGTAGACATCGCAGCATGGCCTCCTACACATGGGGTAATGCGGGCTACTTCCTCGTATAGCGCACTGCGACAGCCCATCACGTACACAATCATTCGCGACTTCCCCAAACCATCAAAAACTCCTAAACCCATGCAACCCAAGCGGTTCAATAGCTCACATGGCGACGCAAACGCCTGTGCCGAAACCCACCCCCTTGTGATGAGCTTCGAAGGTCGAAAATTGCAAGGGACAGACGTGGAGTGGACAATAAGCGACTTGGAGGGGACAATGAATGACACCAATATTTCAAGACGGGTCAACGTGAGTGGACAAGACAAGAGTGGACGAGGGAGGAAGCACAGGCACACACTAGGAAGCTGCTAGGCCGTGCCGGAATATCTAGCTTCATCACTCTACCAGACACTTGCCGATGAAACAGACAACCTGTTGCTACTTAGTTGTTCTTGTCTTCACGATAAACAGCGTTCCGTTTTCTGCTCGGTGTCTTATTTCTCACGTACCGGTCAAAACTGGCCGCGGACGCCTTGCGTGGTCGCAGGCTAACTAGGGGTCCAAACACGAAGGTCAAGAGACATACATACGAACAACCAATACGATGTATCGACAACAACGCGAAAGATAGATGGCTGCACGGGATTGCTTAGCAAGGCGTCGTGAGCACCTACGCCCGAGCAGCAACACGAAGAAGCCAAGCAACCAAAGCAAACGAAAGGGACAAGGGTTTCGCAAGGGGCAGTTTCGCTTCCCCTCTGCTCTCTCTCTCTCTCTCTCTCACACACACGCAGGTGTACCCGCCTTCGTAGACACGTACAGTGAGCCGCCCCTCACGGGGTCCCAGTTAATACCATTTAGAAGTCTTTCGTGTTTTCAACCACACTGAGACTGACGTCTTTTCATTGGTCAGCCCGTTAGCGTGGTCGATGCTAATCATAAACACACACGCGCACGCAAAATTTTCATCATGATCCCATGCGCCAGCCGAACTCTGTTGCGTTCCACCCAGTCCACCCACCAGAGCGAGCGCTAGCGAACCATGTGATTGACTGACTCACTCACCCATCTCATGGTACTTTTTATATCTGGCCAAAGGAGGTGTCTGTCTCACTTGGAGAGGGGCCTGCGAAGCATAGGATACATACGACGGCAGAGCAGCCACACGGAGGATACAGAGGCGTCAAAGCACGACAAGCTGGCAGAATTACCTAGTAGTATACTCTCATGTGCCATTTAGTCTTACGCACAGCACTAGGAAAAGCCAAAGGTGGAAATAAATGCGACCCACCCACAGGGCTGTGGCGACATCAAGGTACTCGCAAAGATGGCCCTCGTTGGAACCTGTGACCGGGGAACAAGCAGCCCATATGTGGTGGGCTTACACGGGTTGCCAGAAACAAAACCTAGCACATGCAACGCCACCAGGAACAATAAGCGCCTGTGTCGCCCTCAAGAGCTTAAGAGCGACCTCCACCGAAACCTAGGCGCTACTAAAGTATGCACATGCACACACAACAAACGAAAGAAAAGGGCACAACGCAATAGATGGTGCTTGCCGGTGAATAACGCCTACTTTCATAGGCGCTGTACTCACGGCAAGACGGCGCCGCAAGAAGCCGAACCACGAACAGCCCCGCATCCTTCTTCAGATCGATCCAAAAACCGACCGACCGATGATGTGCGATACTCGGTTCCCGGCGCCTTTGACGCTGTCAAGTTACCGTCTGGGGTTGGATGCGGTCTGCCCCTCGTGTTTAGGGACCAAGTGAAAGCGTCCAACAGCCTTGATTCTTGCTGGATCTCCTTGTAGAAGAGGTGTGTGTGGTGTAACGATTTCCCTGTGGGACACGATAGAGTTAGGGTGCCGGTACGATTATCGGGGGGAAACGGTTGGTTGTCGGAGGTGGTCTCGTCAACTGCTGTTGTGATGGGCAGCAGGCAGGCTTGCCCGTCACGAGGTTGGCCGTGCATACGTACTACATGATGCAGGAACATTAACGTCGAAGCGTACACAAGCTTTCGTGGAGGAACGTTTCGCGGACAAAATTATGATGAATGATGAGGTGTCACCGCGCAGCATGACCTATGGCTTGATTTTTTTCTGCTACTCTTCCTCAAGCAGCATATGTTGCACAGCAGTAGTGATATATCTCCTGCGGGTAACAGCCTCAACAAGACAGCGGTGTATCCAGACTACTTGTACCGTAGGTCGCCTACCGTCAAGCGCCCGCGCGTAAGAAACGTCGATTTGGGGTAGAGATTCAATTTCTTACTCCATCCCCACCTTCGAGCATAGGTTATTATATTGAGTTTAGTGCAGGATCCACGGCTGAGGTGTGTTCCTTGGTAGATTTTTCTCATTTGTTGCCATAATCTGAGCCTTTGTTTCTTAAGGTTTGTTTCTTGATTGCGGCCGCTAACTGCAACGTACCACACCCTCTGGCTCGATTTTCAAATCCCGACTACCCTGCAGCACAAGCAATGATGGTGCCGAAATTGGCGCCGCAGGAACGGTCTCGTCGAGAGCTTTCTTCCGAAAGACGTTAGTCCCCTTAGCCACAGGAGAGAAATCGGAGTTTGAAATTCGTGTGGGGTGTGGTACCTCACGTGTGTAGCCTGCGGAAGGTAAACTATTGTTTTCTCGAGGGAAACGAACACAAGAACGGCTGGATCCTTCGCGTTGACAGATCGTAAGAAGTGGCCATCTTTTGCAGGTCGTCGGGCAACGAATGTGGAGGAAAACCAAAGGTCCCGTTTGCCCTTCCCCCTCGCTCATTATGACTACTGTTATTATTTTGTTTCTCCCGTCATTGGACTCTATCGTCTGCCATCTGGCCCCCATCCGACACTTCTACTAGCTAGACGACCCAACCGGGGTCACATAGGAGGGCGGGGGGTTGGACCCCCTCCTGCGGTTCCTGCCTGAGATTTTTATCGCGAGAAGGGTACAGCAATCCCTTCCCTCGCGACTTATGAAGTCGATCGAGTTTTTACTGAAAACAACTTATGTGACCCCGGCGGTCATGCATAGTCTTCCCAACGAATCGACATCAAACAGATCAATTACAATACAATACCGCAAAATACAGTAGTAGATCCTCTCCGAGTGGGTTCATGAGAGCACAGCACTGAGGCAGTGTCATCAAGGGGTGACGCAAGAAGAAGAAAAAAAAGCAGGCAGCAAGACCATAGCTCACAGCTGGCTGCCAGCGGCCAGCTGTGACGTTTCCCGAGCTCGACAAGCTCAACAAAACACGCTGACGTTTTTGACTCCAAGAGCTCAAGCGAACCTCCAACGAACCAACATGCAAATACTCCATGGGACATGGGACGGCCACACGCCACACACACGTCGATATTTAGATTACATATTAGTGGTTCCGAGACTATGCAGCTATTCTGAACTGCACGGCCAAACCTACCTCGCCCAAGAGCTCAACATCGGGGTCACAAAGAAATGGTAGCATGAGAGCAAGTTGTGTACATACTTAGTGCCGCTGGCAGCCCGACAGCACTGGAGTGATACAACGATACAAAGCGTAGGCTAGACCAGATACAACGAGTTCACGTTAAAATCGGAACTATTTGTGAGACATGTTTTTTCATGTTTGTGTTGTGCACTTGTGCATCGCCCAATTCCTACAGAAAAATGCTGTATATTTATCTAACTACGACTGTAGCCCCCACCACTGTGCGGTCGGGCTGTATCAAACTGCACTTGTACTATCCGTCCACAGGTGCTCTCGATTTGAGTTGCATGGATACAGGAGGTCACACACAGCAGCAGTACAGCACGTTCTCACGTCAGTGTGCTGTAGAGGTTGCGACTCTCATCACCGACCCTCAGACACGCAAGACCTCTCTCCTGTAAACAAAGAGAAGGATAGGTCTGCAGAGGGGGAGCGCTGACCGCGCGCTGAAACACGCAAACATGCAACACGAACATGCAACATAACATGACTGCTGGACAAGGCGGAGACGTACGACATGCAACTTGGAAATACAGGTCTCAAAAGGTCAACAGATTGGACAAGTCTACAACAGCAGTTCAAAAAGCTCCGAACACTATGAGGTATCCCGTTCCACACCCGTACGGTAGCGAGATGCGAGGACTGCCAACGAACAAGATTTGCGCATACCATACCTCCCAGTGCACGCACAAGACGCTCGGAGGTGCAGGTGAATGCTCTCTGCTGCTGCGCACCCACACGGCAGACGGAAATCTGTGTTCTGCTGTTGTTGTTGTAGTTTCGCCCATTTGTTTCGTCTAGTCAACCATCGACCCTGCGCCCATGCGCAGCAGCGATAGGGTACAGCAGTGTACTCAGTGCTTTGGGGCCCGCAACCTGGAGTCTAGAATTACGCACCTGATTGGGAGTGTGGTCCGCTACGCACAGCGGCTAGCTTTGCTAGCAGATCGAGGACAAAATGTCGATGTGTTCTCGCAGCAGGCAGGTGCTTTCAGGTGCACCAACCACGGAACTGTTCCGCACATGAATTCGCGGAGCTCCCTGTTTGTCGCAAGTCCTATTCGCAGACCCCCCCTGGGTCGGTCGATTGATTGTGCATCTGCATACCAGCACTTGACACAGCAGCAGCAGCACACACGGGAGTCAGGAGCCTACCTTCCCCTTCCCTGAGAGGTGAGACGGAGTGCTGGGTTCGTTGCCATCACAGCTCGTTGTCGGGGAATGGCTCTCTTTGACAGCAGGCAACAAAGTGAGAAACATGATGTTGATCTTCTCCAGCTATGCCGACGCAGAGCACAAGCGGGGCACACGACTCTGCTCCTTTGAGGCAGCAGCAGCAGCTTTTCTTCCAGCCCGCGGCATACATAGTAGGCGTGGCAATCAACGGTGGCAGCTTGATGTCGACGCTTCCGCTCAACCAGGCCGAGAGGGTGTTTTTCAACGTACGCACAGCTTTTTTAGACCTGGAGCTCTCGCTTTCCATACCCTCATAATGATCTGGCTGCCACGACTGAAACCAAGCACAGCTGTTTACCTCATGTATCCCTGTACTTCCACCGCTGCTGTGAACTGCTGCCCCGCGTGCACAGCCAAGGGCGCCTCGGCAAAGGATCCACAGCCCCGGGCGACACCATGCACCGACGAGCGGTGCCGTCGGCGCTTACGGCGGCGGTCTGCTGCTCTCTACTAGCAGCAGTTGTAGCCTTTTCGACCCACTCGCCCGCACCCGCCATCCGACCAAGGATAACAAGCGACAGATCACTAGCAAGACAGCAGGCGGGTGGAGGTGTCCCGTGGAAGAGACAGCAGCGACGAGCTTGCGGTGGGGTCAGGGTGATGATGAGCAGTGGCGGCGATGAGGAGGAGACCGATGAGGAGGCTGAGGCTAGAGCGGAGGTGCGTTCACCGTTCGTGCATGATGAACTTGCAGCAGTTGAGACGACCAGATGGTGTTGACATACCAATGATTTAAAGGTGGATGAAGTACTGTACTAGACACGCTTCCCTGTTACAGCAGTACACGGAGTGCCTTTACTTCCTTTCAGGCGCTGTTGTGGCTACTATAGAAGTACGATTCATCATGTCAGAGGAGGAATGGATCAATGCTGTACGTTACATAGCTCCTTCACAGCATTATAGTAGCAACCTCTGGCCCAACAGCAGCCAGAGACAACAGAAAGGTAGGTACACTGGCATGATACAACCAGATCCTGTATGTCCAGGTTAAGAGTAGAGGGTCGCGTAATGAGACTCCGTCTCTGGATGCCGTCGTATCTGTCCGGGCCTCTCTACACCATCCCCCTCTGACAATTGTGTTGACGTCTTGACTCCCACTACGGTAGATAGACTGACTCGTCACTGCTGTCGGCCACAGCTGCATACAAATTGAGTACTCGGTGTTAGTTCTCAACAACAAGCAGAAGAGATAAAAAGATAAAAAGATAACCCCTGCTTGCCCAATCGCCGCCTCTCCAACCGGCCTTGTGGTACATGTACATTGTTGCCCTCGACGATGCGATGTTCGCCATCGTTCCTGTCGCACTCAGGTGCTAGGGTTAGTGTCACTGATGTACGTGCGTCACTCTTACCACACTTTTTGCGATGGTATTGCGGCCTACAGCCGGCAACGCGCTACGATGCCATGTGCTGTGCATCGGGCCTGGTTATGCGTTTCTCAACAATACACTACTCTTGGCAAGGCTCCCAAGGGCTCTTTCACTGTACAATGTGAAGTCAAGACGACACCTTTATCTGCCACTTCACCCTCCAATATCTCAGCGTCGTTTTCACCCTGAGATGCCCCCACCTGCTGATTTCCGCTTCCCCCTTCCCTACGAATCGGAGAAGGTCACGCGGGAAGCCCCCCCCCCCCCCCACATAAA